ATGAGTTTTTTCCATATTAGTGTTTTTTGTAGCTTGAATTTGGTGGTTTTGTAGAAGATTTGATGGTTCGAAGCCTTGAGATTTGAATTTAGTTTGGATGGAATGAATTTTTGTTGTTTGGTTTATAGGAAAGTGAAGGAAAATTGAGTGGAAAATGTCTGTAAAATTTCATTACTGATGTGGAAATGGAAAAATGCCAGAGTGGCGAAAAAGATATTGTTTTATTTTACAGGTCATTAAGATTTTCAACCAAAATTGATTTCATGGCAACTTAACGTGACATCTGGCACTTCTGTCGACAGAAGGACTAAATTGGTCTCAAAAATTGAAGTTTAAGGATTTTTTTAGTACTTTTTGAAGTTTGAAAGTAAATTTGCTTCAAAAATGAAAGTTGAGGGACTGAATTGGCGATTTAACCTAAAGATTTTGGTAGTTTTTGAAGTTTGAGTACCAACTCAGTCCAAAACTCAGAGTCAAGGGACCAAAATAATAATTTAACCTAAAATTTTTTGGTTTTAATTAGAGTATCATTATTTCCATTGTGTACCTACCATTCAATATACGGATAAAAATTCCTTTTTTGGCATTAAATTTCTTATTTTTTTCCTTTTTCCTTTTTTGATGAATGAACATTTACAGCTATTTATTTTTTAGCTTTTTTTTAATTATAATGAGTCAACCATACATATAAGAAAATTTATGTAAATATCTTATCTGAAAAAAAAAAACATCAAAGAAAAAGTAGGGACATTTCCTGCTTTTTCTTTGTATTGGCACTAGAAGAAGAAAAACTGACTATCAAAATACAAAAATCAGGCTTTTCTTTTTCCGTTTCTTCCCACTAGATTCTTCAACGAAAGGAGCGCTGCATTGCTGCATATTCCTCATCCATATATGTCCTCCATAAAAAAGAAAGTAAAGGTAATGGAACGCAAATTGCATGTAATCCATCAACAACAACAACAACAACCAATGGAAGTTGAATAGACAAATCTGAACCAGTGCTTCATTCCCACCATGAACAAGCATGTCTTCTGTCTCGATGAGGACCAGGCTCTGCCTGATCAAGCATCAAGTGGGAACCGATGTTCTGGCCACTAGGGATAAGCACGCTTGTATAGGCTATGGGTGTTCTCGGTATGGTTTGGTTTGGATTTTAATATCTTAAGCGGGAACTGACGTTCTGGCCACTTGGGATATGCACGCTTGTATAGCCTCAAGCATATGGTGTCATGCTGCTAAAGGACCCCATCGAATACACATTTCATTATCCCCGAGGAAAACCAAAAAGTCAGTCCTTAACACATTGGGAAAGAAGTCCAAAGAGATAACCAAGTCCGAATATGTTCTTTTTGGATTAGATATATTTGCGGTATTTGCTCTTATCAAAAAAAAAAAAAAAAGGGGGTCTAAAATAAGTGCTAGAAAACCGTGATTGCAACATAGATCATTAAGGGCCACAATAAAAGCTAGAATTTTAAGTTTCCCCTATTTATTTCTTGTCCATTTCTTTGCCAGTCCCTATAATCTTTAGGATCAAACAGAAGGCTTCTTATTCTTATGACCTGGAATTCCAATCGTAGCAAATTGAGATGCAGCTCTATTACTTTTTTCAAGTGAAGTAGGCATTCAAACTAAAATCACATACCATGAGTACCAATAGGTTCCTTGATTCGACCACAGCGGCCACATTTTGTCCAAACTTCAACAGGCTACAACCACCCAAATAAAGAATTTCAAATGTAATAAAATATATAATGATTCTTTCATCATCTTATGACCCTTGAAATCAAGTATAAGACTATCTTACCTTGAACCATCTTACATCCTCTGGGTTATGGAACATATACCTTACAGAGGCTTTTAATTTTGACACTTGTTGAGGATAACTGCATCAAACTATAATGAAGGCTTATGACTCAATTGTACGAGATATCTAATAAAATGTGGTCATGTTAAAAAAAAAGAGGCAAAGTAGAGAATTTCTATATCATTTAAGATCACCATGATTAAACAATTGTGCAAGATAAAAAGTAAAAAATCATACCCAGTTAAGATAATCTTCTTTAGAATTATTCTATCCGGGTCAATATTTTTCAAGGATCCAACTGCTGCCACTACAGGTACGCTGGCTTCTCCAGAAGCCTTCAGGGCTATCAAAGGAAGAGATGGAAAAGAAATAGGAGCATATATTGAAGCCATGGAAAAACGACCTGTATGAAGAAATCTTTCCATCTTGTGTTTGTCTAAATTAAAGTTGTCAGTAGAAAATACTGGCCTGCAACCAACAGAGAATGCTCACAAAACTTCAATGTGAAATCATAGAGCCCAAACTAAGCCTTAAGGAGCAAATAAATCCTTGTTACCTAGAAAGAAACTGGCGGAAGCCAACATGAAATATCAGTTCTTCTTTACTCTTGATAGGGCCATCATAACTATCATGCTTCTTTATACTGCAATCAGTAATAGTATCATATTATGAATGAAAAAGACACTCAAGAAATTTATACTTATTAATTAAGAAGCAGAAAAGGACAGATAAAGAAAATTTTGTGATTAGATACCTGAAATGAAGGACAGCCATCTTTGATTCATGTTGCAAAAGGCCACATGACACAATGGGTATTGTCCTAGCAAGCAGACAAAGCTTGGAAGCAACAGAAATAGGCACTTCCTTAATATGAACCAGGAGGTGCACAGTTATCTCCTTCCTCCATTTCTAAGGCATTTGCAATCACATACTTTTGTGTTCTTGAGAAGTTATCAAAAGCAAAAATTCGGGCATATTCTGGAGGTAGAGATTCCTGATAATCATCAAGAGAACTTTTAACAGAGTGCCCTTGATGATGAAGAAATATATATAATACTAGTACAGATGTCATGATTACATTACCTTGGGGTCCCATGAGGAAGTTCTGAATGATTTGAGGCCCCTACAATTGGCAAAGCGCTTTCTAGCAGGAACGTCTAAAGGAGTGTCCACTTCATCTGGAAATTCTGAAACATAAATTTTAAGAGCTAGCAATTAATT